GAAAGAGAGAGAATAAGGGGGAGAGATATGCTTTAGAAAAGGCAACTAAAACAGCTTCAATGAAACAATAACTGTAAAAAGAAAAGAGAATAATATTACTAAGAAAGTAAAGAAATATGTACAAACCCAATGTTGACCTCCTCTGATGAAGTCACCACTGATGCTGTAGGGCAGGCACTGGGAAAGTCCCAGACTGGACCCAGCAGCAGACAGGAACTGGATTCGGGAACTGGATTCAGGAACGCACGGATCAGGATTGAAGGCAGAAGAACAGAGTCCTCCTCGGATGCCAGCCATAGAAGAAGAGGGCTTGACCCTTGTGATCCCTCAGCTTTATGCTGAATAAGATGTATATGGAACGGAACATTTTAGTCAGTTTTGGGTCACCTGTCCTGTCCACTCCTCCCCACAAGTGCAACCCTTTTACTCACGGCACTTGAACATGACACATAAGATTTCGCAGTGACCTTGGTTTCCTATAGAAGCAAGCATAAGTAAGAGCCTTTCTGCATACCATTCCTTGGTAGTAACTATCAAGCACTATCACTTCTAGAAGCAAACACTGTCTGGAAAAATATGCCGTTAATATCAGAAAGTGCAGTCACTTAGAAGAGACTTAGCTGAAAAGTAGAATCGCTGAATGGAGAATTGGTTCTGTTCCAGCTCAAACCAGAACACTCGACCCTTTGTTCCATACCATTTACGTCATACCCATCACTAGTTTATGATTTATCTTTCTACACAATAGTTCATGATTGTAGGTTTGCATCCATCATAGCAGTCTTTCATAGCAGGAGGAATGGTATGAAATTTGTCACAATCTGGGCCCATGTGTTGCAGGTCCACCTCGAGGAAGTTGCTGGACACCACTTGCTGAAGCTAGCTCTGATCATCACCACTATGTTATCCTGAAAGGCACTTACTGAACATTGTTAGTATTATGTAGCAATTAGCATCATACAGCTCAAAACTGAGTACACACACCTAGAGTTAAATTCCATTGAGGTACACATTGGACTTCACCATCCTTCAGCATTACTTCACTGCAAACCTCATGAGGTTCAACAACGCCAAGTACAAGGTCCTTCACATGGGTGGGGGCAATCCCAAGCACAAATACAGGCTGGGGGACTAGTGGATTGAGAGCAGCCCTGTGTAGAAGGACTGGGAGGTGCTGGTGCATGAAAAGCTGAACACGAGCCAGCAATGTG